GGGGGGTTGAGAAGTAGGTAGTCAGATTAAGGTGTATCTCTCTTGCGCGCGCGCTCGCAGCATGCTTTTTTTTATTTTATATAAGGGTCCTGATGGATCACGGATTGGATTTGAAACCGATCGCAGACACCACAATTCATCGGATTTGAAACTGATCGGCGCAAATTCCACACTTACATCGTGTGTGTGGGTGGGGAGGTGGCCTATAGTCAGTTACATTTGGGGTTCTCTCTCTCTCTTTATCTCTCCATGCACACGCGCGGCCAATTTCACACTTCATCCGTCGACGGACCACGGATCAGATATGAAACAGATCGGAGCATATACCAAGAAAGAGTCGAGAGCCTTGACGGTCGTAACAAATGCTCTCCGAACCGTGCGAGATGGTCGCCCATCACACGGCTCTTCTGCACAACTTGCTTTATTATTATATAAATAAAATAAATAAATAAGCCAGAGTGGCCTCCGCGCCCTTATTTGACTCATTCTGACCCGCACGCTTGAGCACGTTCCCACATATATATTTTATTTGAGCCTAGACAACCCAACTCACGTCTTTAAACCTTTAACAGATTTAAAAGGACTCTTGAAGAAAAGAAAAGAAAAAGAGCGAGTGCCGTACGTAATCGCCTCTCAGACCAAGATGATGGCGATTACAGTTGCTCACTGATCCATCGTCTACTTTCACACATATGACCGTTGGGGGGGGGCGGGCGGGAGCGGGGCACGTGTCTCTCTCTCTCTCTCTCTCTCTCTCTCTCTCTCTCTCTCTCTCTCTCTCTCTCTCTCTCTTGTGCGCGCGTGCACTCGCATGTGCATTTTTATCTTGCTTTTTTTTTGAGAAAAAGGTCTCGCTGGACCGCAGGGCACGTAGTTAGAATGCTCTCTCTCTCTCTCTCTCTCTCTCTCTCTCTCTCTCTTTGTGTCCCCCTCGGGTTTGCACGCACGTGCGTTCATGTTGCGCCAAACTCGTGGGAATGTAGATCGAAGCCAAGTTCATGTAGCGAGAACCATCAAGTTCACCTAGCAAGTAGCAGAGAGATGAGAGAGAGAGGATAGAGCAAGATGTGAGAGAGAGAGGAGAGAGAGAGAGAGAGAGAGCACGTAGCACAAGGCTCAACAATCGTTCCACCAATCCGTGGCACCAACTTATGTAGCACGAAGCACGTAGCACCAGAGCGCAAAGCTCCAACCCACATTGTGGGGGGGAGAAAGAGAGACAGAGCACCAATCTACGCTGCACCAACTCAAGTTGTCCTCGCACTAACTCAAGTAGCGCGAACCACGTAGCACCAAACGCGAATCACGTAGCACCAAAGCGCGGAGAAGCACCGGTTCACCTACCACAGAGGTAGAGAGGAGAGAGAGAGAGAGAGAGAGAGAGAGAGAGAGAGCACAAATTTATGCCGTGGGGGAAGAGAGAGATGAGCACCAATCTACGCTGCACCATCGCAGAGCACAAACCATGTAGCACATAGCAAGTTGTCGTCGCACTAACTCAAGTAGCGCGAACCATGTAGCACGAAGCACGTATCACGTAGCACCAAAGTGTGAAGCACGGAGAAGCACCGGTTCACCTACCACAGAGAGAGAGAGAGCACCGATCTACACTGTTGGGGGGGGAGAGAGAGCACCATTCTACGGTGCACCAACCACGTAGCACGTAGCCTCTCTCTCTCTCTCTCTCTCTCTCTCTCTCTCTCTCTCTCTCTCTCCCTCGTGCGCGGGCGTGCGCGGCTCCCATCCCCCCGCGCAACCCCCTGCCAACGCTTCCCTCCACCATTCTCTCTCTCTCTCTCTCTCTCTCTCGATCGATCGATCGAGAGAGAGCACGCCGCATAAGTACAACCAAGGTGAGAGCAGCCCCGTGTGCGCGCACGCACGAGAGAGAGAGAGAGAGAGAGAGAGAGAGAGAGAGAGAGAGAGAGAGAGGCCGCGAAAGGGAACGCTGGCAGAGGGGAGCGAGGGGAGTGCAGGCTCTCTCTCCTTCTCTCACACGCACACACATACAGACACGCACAAAAAAAGAAACACAAACACAAACAAAGCAGCAGAAATGAACAAACGAAAGCCCAAATTAACTCACCTTCAGTCATGTTGGCGAGCTCAAATGCACAGCCCAGGCCTCAGCGTCCAACCTTCTCGATGCAGACCCCTTCCCCATGCACACCCCAATTTCCACCACGACAAAAAGCTTAGGAACCTCTTTCTGTGCATGTGTGTGTGTGTGTGCGTGTGTAGAGAGAGCGAGACAGGAAGGATGCTACACGTGTGTGTGTGTGCATGTGTGTCTGTGGGCATGTGTGTGTAGAACGGGTAGAGTAGAGTAGAACTTTGAGTAGCTTAGAGTAGCACAGAGTAGCGTAGAGTAGCTCAGAGCCCAGTTCACGACGTCGTCAAGTAGCTTGGAATGTCAAAAACAACTTCTAGCATAGAGTAGCCCCGGCATCGACTCTAACTCGGCAACTGTACGTAGCAAACCGCCGTCCAGTGGACCTGCCGTCAAGTTGACCCACCGGGCAGTGCATGTGCCCAAAACATTTGTTACTATACGTTCTACGCGCGTGTACCCAAAAAAATTGTTACTATACCAGCACTGGACCGGTAACGCATCACACGCAACCCCGGTACTGCGTGCGGTAGGGCCTGTAACACGCTACGGTACTGGAGCTGGCGAGCGGGCCCGGTACAGCGCGTGGTACTGGCACTGGCCACGGGACCGGTACTGGCCCTTGCACGGAGCCACGACGGTTCAACTTCTAAGAACAAACGATCAGCAGACGATCGGGACCGTCGCGGAGCGAAAATTCGGAGGGCCCAAGTCATATGCTTGTCACAGGCAAGAAATTAGCGATAGTTATATATGTAGTGACAATACCACAAACAGATAAAACAATCCTCTTCAAGACCTTTCATTTTTGGCCACTTTTCAGTCGTGCCAAAGGAAAGTGGTCCATCTTTCTCATTAAATGCCAGGTCGGTACCGATCCATCTTTTTTATTCACCCATGGCTGGTACCAGTCTATTGCACGCTTGGGCGTTTTGTTTTTCTGGTCCGTGCATTTAGCCTTGGTGGGACTGGTGGATTATGCACAACCAGCTTACATTCCAAAGAATAGAACCCCTGGTACGTACCAAATTCTCGGCTCCTGGAAGATTTCCTCTCTTCGCGAGATTGACGGCCAGCTCAAGATTACCAAGCTAAAAGGAACACAGGACAAAGACAATGGCAACATGCAACACGTCAACACCATACCAAAAGGCAACATCTGCCCAATCAAGAGAACCCAAAAGTTTCCAACCTATGCGCATTTTACTTCAAAACTGAATTCTGTACCTTAATCTCTGTGGATACAATTCTTCAGCCAACGCGCTACCAGGCCACTCACAATATTTTCATGTCCTAGCCGAGGCAATCAACTAGTGAGCCTTGCGTACAAGGTTGCTTTGCTCTCATCAGTATCAACAGATACTTGTCACAATACCATTGGTGCACCAAACAGTTAAGAACAAGTAACTAGAACCAAATCATGAGGATGCTTCCCCTATGTGCATTAAACTTCAAAACTGAATTATGTACCTTAATCTCTCTGAATCTAGGCTACCAGCCGGGCCGCCCGGGTCCCGGTGGCCAGCTCGTGCAAGGACGAGGGAAGGTCCCACCAAAAAAAAAAAAAAAAAAAAAAAAAAAATCAAAAAAAACCGAAATTAAAAAAAAAAAAACTATGTTATGCAGAAAAATAAACTGAAAAACTTTTGCCTTAGGGTCACATCGAAATTCTGCACCAAATTTAGAAAGAAAAAAAAAATTACAATTTTTTTTATTTTTTTTAATTGTTTTTTGCCCGGCCGGGCAAGTGACCCCGGGCCACTCTGGTAGCCTAGCTCTGGATACAATTCTTCAGCCAACGTGCAATCAGGTCACTCACAATATTTCCGATGTCCTAGCCGAGGCAATCAACAAGTGAGTCTCGAGTACAACGTTTCTTTGCTCTCATCAATATCAACAGATAGTTGTCACAACACCATTGCTGCACCAAATATGAATAAGCAACTACAACCAAATCATGAGGATACTCCTGTGGACTAGCTTTTCATGGTTGCATTCATGTTTAAAACTTGTGCATGTTGAATCAACCATAGCTATAGGCCAAGAACAACAATTCGATCCTGGAACAAATATGTTCCGCTGTATTCATTCACTGTGATCCTCTTATTCAGTATGTCCGCACTACTTAGATGACCTGTCTTGGCATGATGATACATAACCAGTGGTAGGGACTCGCATGATGATACATAACCAGTGGTAGGGACTCGCGTGATGATACATAACCGGTGGTAGGGACTCACCCAGTCATTTACCCCCACTCACGTCTCTCTCTCTCTCTCTCTCTCTCTCTCTCTCTCTCACAACAACAATTCGATCCTGGAACAAAAATGTTTCGTTGTGTTCATTCACCATGATCAACCCATTCAGTATGTTTGCACTACTTAGATGACCTGTTTTGGCATGATGATACATGACCAGTGGTAGGGACTCGCCCAGTCATTTACCCCCCATTCACATCTCTCTCTCTCTCTCTCTCTCTCTCTCTCTCTCTCTGGCCCTCCAAGAGCCTGTCCACTGGCCACTTCCCCAGGAGGCAGCTAAGGGCCTCCTATCCGTAAGCAGCAGTGCTACCAGTAAGTGTTGCGTGAAAGAAATGAGAGTCAGCAGGCCTTCACATGTCATCAAAGGTCTACTGACCACTTCCCCAGGAGGCGGCTAAGGGACTACATTTCCGAAAATTTAGCCAGACTCTGGGTAGTTCTCGCAAGTGACCGCTCCGATTTGCGGCTGAGCGCCACAACTTTAGATTCTTGACAGATCTCTGCCAAGCACGACAGGATCTGGGCCATCAATCTCTCTCTCTCTCTCTCTCTCTCTCTCTCTCTCTCTCTCTCTCTCTCTCTCTCTCTCTCTCTCTCTCTNTCTCTCTCTCTCTCTCTCTCTCTCTCTCTCTCTCTCTCTCTCTCTCTCTCTCTCTCTCTCTCTATCTATCTATCTATCTATCTATCTATCTCTTCCACAATTAAACCAGATTCTGAGGAGTTCTCACAAGTGACCGCTCCAATTTGCGGCTGCGCGCCACAACTTTAGATTTTTGACAGATCTCTGCCAGGCACCACATGATCTGGGCCATCCATTTCTCTCTCTCTAACTCTCCCCCCGACTGTTGGAGCAACTGGACCTCCAAGAGCCCGTCCACAAGTATGTTGGGACCAACCGGCCCTACCAAATTCTTTCCAGCTGGCAGAGCTACCAGTAAGTGTTGCAGTGAAAGAAATGAGAGTCAGCAGGCCTTCTCATGTCATCATTGGTCCACTGGCCACTTCCCCAGGAGGCGGCTAAGGGCCTATCGATTTTCAAAAATTTAGCCAGCCTCTGGGTAGTTCTCAAAAGTGACCGCTCCGATTTGCAGCTGAGCGCCACAACTGTAGATTTGTGAGAGATCTGTGCCAGGCAACGCAAGCCCTGGGCCATCAATGCGCATCGACAGCCCAGATTCATGGACAACCATGAACTTTCTGTGATTCGCCACGAATCTGGGTGGTTCGCATGCCTGGACAGCCCAGATAGTGCCCCTACGACAATTTGCAGGCCAGAATGGCAGATTGTAGATTTATCTTCAGATCTGCTTTGCATTGTTACCCAGGCAACAGCATAGAATGCACCTTAGGAATCCATGGGAGCTGGATGCAAACATGAAAGGCAGATGCAGCCCTTTGTCTACCCACCTGGTTGCTCACAAATGGTACGATCGTGTTTTCATTAACATTGGCAATCAAGACTTGCCCTCGCCTGTTGACAGCATAAAATCCACCTGTCGTTGGAGAATCCGTCGTAAGGAAAATTTGCTCAGGGCTGATTCTGTTCCTATAGACTGCTGTCGCGGTCTCAAGATCATAAACAAACAGAAGTCCCAGCTTCGTGATCACATACACCAGCGCATACTTCTGGGAAACCTGCATCATATACAGAAGAAGGCCTCTGTAAATGTCAGCAACAGAGCAAACCGTACCAGAACAGCTCCCAGAAGAACATACTCTTCCTTATGGATGCGAAAAGCAAGAAAAGGGGACAAGTATTTACGCTCACCAGCTACGACAAAGCAGTGACATAGTGTGTATGTTTTGGACCGTCTTCGCCTAAATAGAAGGGCCAGTCAATTAAGCTGTAATTGGGCCAACCGTCTGTCCAGATACAGTGAGCATCAGGGGGTGTACAAATCGGGTAAGAACAGTAGCACATGTTCTGGGGAGTAATCATAGGGTGTCATAATACAGAAATGGAGCAGCTGATGCCAACATGACAGGAGTCTTCATTCACATGGTTGTTGCTCAATAGGACAGGACACCACCAAACGACTCAATACATAACAAAACTGAACTAGCGAACAGGGGCAGAAAATTGTCTTTCAGTGTTGCAATGACCAGTTCGACAAAATGGTTGCCTTCGATAACAGAGAAACTCAAGAAAATGATCATAGAGCATGCTGCTTTAGGAGCAAAACACGCATATGTGCAATAGTGTTGTACTTGTGCTGGACTTCCGTGAACACGACCTGCATGGCGACAGGGAAGTCATCCGCAAAATCCGGTGGGAAAAATAAATCAGCTTGCTTTCTGAAATTCGCCTTTCCTGCAGTCACAATGCAGAACAACATAGCAGAATGCCTTGTAAATGAAGACTGCAGAAGGGAAGCCACCTTAATCTCTGTACACTTGGGGGTTTGATAAACAAATCGTACATAGGAACGAGGATGCAAACATACGACAACTTTCACACAAAACTAACACGGCAGCCATATAAAGTAGCCAACTTCAGAATAACATGTCATGGCTCATTGCCCTCTCCTTCGGCAATAGAAATCATGACATACCCAAGAGTCTCCCCCATGACATACCCAAGAGTCTCCTCCCAGCAATCTCTGTTTCAATAGGATCAAACAGGCTTCAGAACAGTAGTGCAATCAGACTCGCTTTTTTTTCCACTTCGCATACATGCAAACAGATGGCAATTCAGACTGGCGCCAAGCGCCCACTCAAAGCTCAGAGATATGGAAACCGAGAACACAGTTCAGATGCAAACTCGCCTCAACAGGCTACGTGCAAGGAAGATGAGTAATACCGAACTCCAGCAATCAAACAGCATCATACATATGAGTCCAGATAGTCTTGACCTCGAACCAACAGCAGAATTGCATCACGAGATACACCAAATAAGAACACACCAAGAGTTCATAATTGACAATGCTGAAGTAGTCCCATCATCATCAACGAAGAACCAGAGCTGATATCCTATTGGCGCTCGGCGCCCAGACTACATGTGGCAGATCCTATCTAGCCTGTACTACGAAGCAGAAAGATGACATCAACAGCGTTCCCGAAGTACGAGCATATGGCGACCAATGTCACACGCTTCAGCACCAGGTATGTCTCGCGCTACACTCACAACCTCGTTCCCCAACTCACAGATGCCACTAGCACCCAAGGAGCACCCTGCGCTTCACCCAGCATAAAGCAGCGCAGCTCGGTTATGGCTGCGTGCTCCTTCCCTGCTCGCTCGTGAGAGCGTGGGCGCTAGCCAGCAAATAGCGCAGCATGCAGCCAGCACCCGAATGCCAATTGAGGAGGCAGGCCCTTCCCTATATCGAAGTGGCCTGCCTGCGTCCAGTCCAGGAAGCTTCCAGTAGGCCCCGGTAGCCTGAGGCCCAGTCACGAGGAAAGCAGGCCTTGGGCCTGAAGTGGTTGCATGCGCCCAACTGCTTTCGGCCTGTATTTGGCCCGGTACCCGTATCCAGCCCAGGGCCTGCTTCACGTACATGCACACAGGCGGCCCAGGGCCTGGGTTCAATCAACCAACTGGCGCTGCGCAACTGCCTGAATTTCCCAGAGTTGCGTGGTGGCCAGAAAAGGGCCCTGAGGGCCTCGTCGAGCCTGCCTTCACATAGGGCGGCAGGCGGGCTGCAAAAATAGGCGCCTTATGGGGCTCTTAGAGGCAGTGGCCTATATGGCGCATCAGAGCCTGTACATCCCAACTCTCGTCACTGTGTCCAACACCATTGTTCGCACACACTCACCGGATCATCCTGAATACCCCACACGCATTCACTGTATCACACACTTGTACACACACTCACACCTAACACTAGCTATGACGGCTATGGCCGCCGGCTACTACTAACTATGGCGCACTGACTTCTTCAAGCCCACTTCAACCCCGGGCATCTGCAGACCACCTCGCACAGGACGCTCGGGCAGCGCTTCCGCATGGCTCACGCAGGAATGAATAAATGGCTGGGCGCTTCCACATGGCTCACGCAGGCGAAAATCTGTCTGGACTCCCTCTACGTAGTCCTCAACACGCATAGTGCGGTTGTCTGCGAGGACACTGACGATGGGGTCTGCCACCTTTTGGACTTTCAATCCTAGCCTCGGCTTCTTCAGCCCTCTACGGCTAATATAACTACGCATAGCCCCTGAATCTATAAGGGCCCCAACTTTACTCCTCAAAACTTCTACATCAACTAAAATTAGTTGTCCCTTACTTTCCTTCTTCATTTTGGCCCAGGCTGGCATCCTCTCCTTCAACTCTTCTGCCACACTTGTGAGGGAAGTGCCCAGAGAGACACTAACACAAGCAGTCTCTGGACAGCAAGCTAGGCACTGGCATGCAACCTCTGCCATAGGCTCATGTGGTTTGGGAGTTACCTGTTCCCGCGCGCTCGCTTCCCCACATGGCCTTGAAGTAGGGGCAGTTGCGACCCCTACTGGCGGCTGCCTTTTGACTGTTGGGCAGCCCATCGGGCCTGTCTATACTTAGCACAAAATGTGATCGGGTCACCACAAAACCGCACTGACCCAGGTCCACGCGTTCTTGCCATACGCGCTGGTCCAAGCCCAAATCTTCCCATGGCCATGCTCCTGTCTGTTGAGGTGGCCTTCCACCTCGTCGCTGCGGGGACCGACTAGAACCCTAACGATTTAGCGGGGGACCTTGACCCCAACCTTCCACTTGGCGGTTCCCTTGTCCGCCAACCCCCTGGGCGCCCGATCCTAGGCCTCCCGGGGCCTGGCCCCTCTGGCCCTGGCCTCCTCGACCTTGCGGCTGCCCTCAAGCCGCGACAACCGCATAGGACCTCCCCTGCCCTACGTTGCTGTCCTCCTCCTCTAACCCCCACTCGATCGAGACCTCATCAATACCACCTTCTTCTAAAGTAAGGATCATGCGATCCTTGGCCCTGACTTGGCCCGAGATGGTACGCCCTTTCCACTTCTTCCCCTTATCTAAATCCTTATGCCCGAAAGTGGATACTGGCATGGATTTTAACTCAAACAGGACCACCTCTCTACTCAGCACATCATATGTGATGTCGGCCTGTTGAGACTTATCAAAGAAATGCCCTCTCAAGAACTCTGGCATGGCACGATAATATAACTGGACCAGCTGGGGCTCAGTGACCCCATGGTCCGAGACGGCTACCAAGTCATCCATGAACCCCTTGAGTGCTCTTGCACTCCTCCACTGTCGCGAGTGGATGGTCTGTAACTTTTCAAGCCCTAACGCCTCTCGTGGGGTCAGCAAATCGCTGCCTCGGGAGCTTAAAGAAATGAGGGAGGGGGGTGATCTTGGAGTATGCAACCAGGTTGTTTTCACAACCGACTGGGCGCGCAAGGGACCTGGCAAAGCTGGCTGCTTCATCCTTGAATGCCTGGAAGGCTATGAGGACTTGCTTGACGGTCAGAATGTGTTGTAAGTACACGTAGGCGTTAACGCTAGCCTCCCAATTATCAAAATTTTCCTCCTCCTTCCCGCCATATGCGTCTGGGAATTTAAGTTTGGAATTTAAGTTTAACGGTGTCCTTGCGGGGTCGGGCCTCGCTCTCAACGATGGTTACTGCTTTGGCACTCTCGATGGTGCCTTCATTTAACTTCCCCACGTTCTCTCTTAACCGTCGGACTTCGCCCCCAACGTGGATAACCACGTCGCGCACGAACTCTCGAAACCCCAACCGCATAGCGCTCAGGGCCACATCATGAACCCAGCTGGCTTGGCGATCTTCTAGCCAGGCCTCACTCAATAACCTACAAGTATCAATAACCTACAAGTATCCCAACATCTTGTCCACCTTGACCGAGACATCTGTCTGTGCCTGCACTTCTCGTCTACAGGCCCTCACTTTCTCCACCTCTCTGGTCAACCGATTAACTTCCTCCCTTCTTCTCTTTTTTTCCCTCTTCATTCTAACTTCCACTCCAACTTCTTATCTTCCTCTGCCTCTTGTCGTTCCAGGGGGTCCTCAATTGTTGCTAGTGCCCTGGCAAATGCCTCCTCGTCCTCTTGTGGCACGTACAACTGCGCCTCCTCATCTTCCCCCAACGATAAATTAGCAATCCACTCACCGATTTTCTTCTCCATCTGTGCATCCTCATTCTTCGTGCCACTACTCTCCCCTTTTGCTTCCCTGAGTTTTCTCTCCTCTTCTGCTGCTGCTGCCGCTTCTTCCTCGGCAACCTTTTTCTTCTCCTCCATCTCCTCCTCCAATTTCTTCATCTTCGTCGCCTGCTCCTCTGCGATTGCTTTTACTTTCGCTTGCTTCAGGAGCTCTTTCCTCTCTTTTTTCTCTTTCACTGGGGCGGTCATTTGCTCCTGTTGAGCTTGGGTACATCGGCTAGTGCTCTTCCCACTACGGGTGTCAACCATGGTGATTAGTGCACAACCGGACTAGCGGTTCCAGACCTCACCACTTACTCTAACCCTCGACTGAGAACCTGACTGACTCAATCTAAAGACTTACAGAATCCGGACAGGGATCTTGTCAACTAGGGTCTCTAGCCTAGACCTATTCTAACGCTGTCACTACTAGACCTATTGCTGATCAGGAGGCATTTAAGGAGATCCCCTGTAACTCCTCAAGAATTATTTAACGTCGTCGCAAACAGGACGACGCAATCAGCAGGTCTCTCAACAATGCCTGTTACGCAGCCCACAACTAAGCCTTTCGGGCCTACCGTGCCACACCGAGCAGCCCGTCGGTCTGTACCGGTCCTTGGGAGGGTTAGGCCTCTGAGACAGTCGAGTCGTCACATACAGTCTTTAGTCCTACTTAGTCCGGCAGGGGTTATGTCAACAAGGCCCTATCCTTCATCCACAGAGTTCCTACACCTAGACAGAAGAGACTCGATGCAGAAAGAAGAGATAATCAGACTTGACTCAGCAAGTACCACAAGGTGTGTGCACATCGATAGGGCGAGGGATAGGCTGAAGGCTTGGCGAGATTATGCCGGCTCCAGCTTGGTCAAAATCTTGGTCAACACCTTGGTCAATGCTCGGTCAACGCTCGATCAATGCTGCAGTCAACCCCCGATCAACCCCCGGTCAACTCTGGCCAACACCCAATCAACGCCACTCAACCGTAGTCAACGCCTCCGATCAACTTCCCGGCTATGGCAACCGTCTTCACCTTCGTCGCCACCCTTCACCTTCCTTCTCTCCACCTCGCCTCTTCCTTCTTCACCTTGCCTTCACTAAGACTTCTATTCGACAGACCTCAGATCGAACCCCAACAACCTACGGACCTATGACAGCCTACCAGTTGCTTACGAATACACAGGTCACGAGTTCAGCTCTCGGGGTCTACACAGGTACTGTACACGGTAGGGTAAGGTCTAGGGATAGAGCCCTGGGATCTGCATCTGCTACTGCAAAAAGGTGAAAACCGTATCACCTTGCCCATCGTGCAAGAAAAATATCAGGTGGGTACCAAAGATTCTGTTTTATTTGTGTACGAATGTCTTGCGGTATTTGGAATTTTCCACCTTGTAGAAATAAAAATAAAAAAGATTTGCAAGTACATTATTCTTTTATTCGTTTCTCTGCAGAATTATTATTATTATTATTGTTATTATTATTATTATTATTATTATTATTATTATTATTTGTGAAACGGTATTCACCAATTCGTGGTAGCTGAGGCAGATCCCAGGGCTCGATCACTAGTTCCTCAACTAGCCAGGATTCGATCCGTAGACCTGTAGATTAGAAGGCTAGCTGCAGTCCTAGAAGGTTGGCAAGTGGTCAAGTGGTGCAGGCAAGTGGGCAAGTGGTGTGACTAAAGCAAGCCCATGTTGGAGACGAGGACAAGTGGCAAGGGCAAATAGTAGGACCCCAGTGCAACTGCACTGCGTCGTAGGGTAG